GGCCACCACGCCAGTGACCACAGGGACACCATCCCTAGGCGGGACAGGGGACACTGGTGACATCCCTGTCCACCATGGCCACCATGGCCAGTGACCACAGGGACACCATTCCTAGGGTGACATCCGTGTCACCACGGCCACCACACCAGTGACCACAGGGACACCATCCCTAGGCAGGACAGGGGACACTGGTGACATCCTGTCACCATGGCCATGGCCACCATGGCCACCATGGCCACCACGGCCAGCAACCACAGGAACACCCCAAACCCAATGTCCCCAGACCCAATGTCCCCAGACCATGGTGACCTTGTGCCCCATGTCCCACACCCCCAACGCCCCCAACCCCAACACCCCCAGACCATGGTGACCTTCTACCTTCATGTCCAACACCCCCAACCCCAAACACCCCCAGACCATGGTGACCTTCTACCACATACCCTCATGTCCAACACCCCCTGACCATGGTGACCTTGTGCCCCATGTTCTATGCACCCCAGCACCCCCAGACCCAACGTCCCCAAACCCAACACCCCCAGACCATGGGGACCTTCTACCCCACACCCCCAGACCCAGCACCCCCAGACCACGGTGACCTCATAGTCCATATCCCACACCCCAATATCCCCAAACCCAACATCCCCAAACCCAACGCCCCCAATATTCCCAGACCTTCTACCCCACACCCTCATGTCCAACACCTCCAGACCCAACGCCCCCAAACCCAACACCCTCAGACCACGGTGACCTCATAGCCCATGTCCTCAACCCCAATATCCTCAAACCCCAACATCTCCAAACCCCACACCCCCAGACCATGGTGACCTCATAGCCCACACCCTGATGTCCAACACCTCCAAACCCAACGCTCCCAAACCCAACAACCCCTGACCATGGTGACCTCAAAGCCCGTGTCCTCAACCCCAATATCCTCAAACCCCAACATCTCCAAACCCAATGTCCCCAAACTCCAACACCCCCAGACCACAGTGACCTCAAAGCCCGTGTCCTCAACCCCAATATCCTCAAACCCCAACATCTCCAAACCCAAGGTCCCCAAACTCCAACACCCCCAGACCACAGTGACCTCGAAGCCCACATCCCACACCCCCAACCATCCCCAAACCCAATATCCCCAGACCATGGTGATCTTCTACCACATACCCTCATGTCTAACACCTCCAAACCCAACGCCCCCAGACCCAACACCCCCAGACCACTATGACCTCGTAGCCCACATCCCACATCCCCAACCACCCCCAACCCCACCACCCCCACCCGTTGCCCGTCCCTCACCGCCCAGCGTGGCGGCGAACCCCTCGATCTTGCAGGCCAGCGGCCCCAGGGCGAAGTACATCTGGGAGAAGCTGTAGAAGGCCGTGGTGGAGCCCACGCACACCACCAGCAGGTTGGCCACCGCCAGGTTGACCAGGATGTAGTTGAGGTGCGACCTCAGCTTCTTGTACTTGGCCGTGCACACCACGGTCAGCGCGTTGATGGGGACGCCGAGGACCACCAGCAGGAACATGAAGGCCGCCATGGCCTTGAAGATGCCGGGGCTGCCCAGGTGGGTTTGGGGGACCAGGAAGGGGCTCAGCGCCGTCAGGTTTGAGGTCTCCAAGCTCATGGGGATGTAGAAATCCTCGGGGAGCTCGTCCCGCATCTCCCGCGACTTCTGCATGGCGGCGGTGACGGCGACACCGTGGTCGGACGGGCGGGTGGGGGGCGACGGGGAGGATCTTTTATAGGGCGGGGGGCGGATGGGACCCCCCCCAATAATCGGGGCTCAGGAGGTAAAGCGCGGCTGAGCCCGGCTCATCCCGGAGCCGGTGCTGGCCAAGCCGGGCTTAGGCGCTCGGCAAGCGGCTTTCGGGGGGTCTTAATCACCCCCGAGCCCTGATTAGCGGGGTTGGGGTGGGGGATCAGGGGGTATCAGGGCCCCCCCCCACCCTAAAAGGGCTTAATTGGGTGCTGGTGTGATGGGGAGGGGGTGGGGGGGTGGTGGTCCTGAAATACCCTCGGGTGCTGCGGGGGGTTCGGGGGTGTTGAGGTGCCAAACTGGAGACTGGGAGGTGCCTGGGAGCCCAAATTTGGCTCCAAAAGGTCCCTGGGGTCCCGAATTGGACCCCCAAAAACTCCTTGGGACCCCAAATTGGACCCCAAAAACTCTTTGGGATCCCAAACTGGACCCCAAAAACTCCTTGGGATCCCAAATTTGACTCCAAAAACTCTTTGGGATCCCAAACTGGACCCCAAAATTCCTTGGTACCACTCTGTGCCACAAAATTTGACCCCAAAACCTCTTTGGGATCCCAAATTGGGTCCCAAAACCTTCTTTGGGATCCCAAATTGGACCCCAAAACCTCCCTGGTTTGCCAAAATTTTTACTGGGACCGTCCTGTGCCCACAAATCAAACAAAAAAACTTGCTGGGACCTCAAATTTGAACCCCAAACCTTCCCGAACCCCCTTGCCTGCACCCCAAAACTTCCCCCAAAGTCCCTCCATATCCCAAAACACCCCAGACTCTCCCCCCTGTACCCCCAAACCCCTCTGGAGCCCCTCCAATTCCCCCCCCCGGATTTTGGGGTCCCACTGCCCCCCCTGATGCCACCACAGGGTTTTGGCAACATCTGGGAGGGGGGTCCTGGTGGACATTTTGGGGGTCCCGGGTGACATTTGGGGGTTCCCGGGGGATTTTGGAGGGTCTCAGGGGACATTTTGGGGGTCCCGGGTGACATTTGGGGG